AAAAAGGGAAACTAGAAGGTAGGCAGAAGCCAGACAGATCACCTAGGGCCTTTTAGGCCAGATGAAGAATTTTGCTTTTTACTATAATGAGATGGTAAAAGTATTAATTAGGGAAGAGCCTAAGCTGCTCTAGCAAAAAGACCCTAAAATATATGTATGTTGTGTCTTGAATAAGAAAACCATACACTCTGTGTGCACCTTTTTCATCTCACTTTCTTCTCCTTTCCTATAACAGAGCAGGGGTTACTAATCTAAAGCAGTGGAGTAGCTCTGCCATTCTTCCCAAGGGGCCTCCATCTTTGAGTCTAAGTCAACTCCTCCATAGGGAGGAGGAAGAGCAGGTGGACGGCAAGAAGCTTCCTGTGAGGGAGCTGGAAGTTGACACATCACTTTTACTCACACCATATTAGCTACACTCAGCTACAAAGGAGGCTGGGAAATATAGTCCATAGTTGGGCAGCCATGTGTCCTGTTAAATCTTAGCTGTAAGTTGGAGAGGATTCTGTTATTAACGAACGAGTTCTGGAAGGTAATTAACAGTTCCTATACACGAAGCCATAGCAATGTTTTAAGCATTCAAATGACAAGAGAAAATTTGAGTTTTCAAAATAACACATTGACTTGTAGTATAGGAATTGATTAGAAAGAGTCAATAGAGGTTGTTAGGAAATCACTCAGGACGTCATTTTAGTAGCTCAGTTGAAACACAGCAATAGCTTAAACTGGAGTGGTCACCATTGAGGTGGAGTGAAGCTGACACATCTGAAATACACTTCGAGAGTCAAGTTGCCTGGCTTTGTCATTTAATTGATCATGAAATTATCTAGCAAGAGAGGTCAGAGTGAGAGGAGAAAAACTAGGCCCTCCAAAATGTAATAGGCAAAAAAGAGTTTGAAAAGGAGAAACACAAAAAGGAGGGAAATGATAAATGTGGTGTCAGAGAATCTGAGGGAAAAGAATATTTCCAGAAAGAGATAGAGGTCATAGTGTCTTCACACCTTACTTTGAGTGATTCTCCTTGAGTGGAAGAGTCATCCCATCCCTCTCTTATAATAGGAGGGAAAGAGGAGATTGACTATACATGGAGGTGAACATATGGGTTTGAGGGCAGGAAGATGAGATAGCTACTGTTTAAGAGCTTCTCCCTCACTCCTTCCCTCCCCCT